GTCACTTGCCCCAAGCAACAGGGGATCTGATTGTACTTCATCCTGAACCGGAGGGTCCCCCATCCAGCTATGTGGGCTTTCAAATTTGCCACCAGAGGCCTGCACGGCAGTATAGATTTACAGATTTAGTTTTCTAAGCTGGAAATGTCTCATATTGCTTTTAACATCACCAGTATCTACGTGGTTACGAAAAGCTTGGTATACTCGAAACTGAAATATTTCTGGTGCTGCTCAGACATGATGTTGCACACTGGTTCATGGACTATGGTTATATCTGACCAGAAACCCAAGGACACTAGTGGCCTGTCAATCATAAGGTAGCCTGGTCTTAATGCATAGCCTGCTTTATTATCTATTTTACTCTACATTGGACCTTAAATTACTAAATGATTATCATGTTGCATTAAAGGAGACGTAAAACCAGAGACGGAGACCATAAACTCACTACGAAAATGTTCACAAGCCAAAGGAGAAGTAAGATCGTTTTCTCATAGACTTCAGTACAATCTGGCTTATTTATTGTAACTAGAGGAGTCTCCCCCTGCTGGCTGTTAGACAGAATGCAGGTTAATGTCTGTGTTGGCATCTATCACATACAGTCTAATCTCAGACCCCAAAAACATCTAATCATCCTGGAGATCGTGGCACAACCTCTCAGGTTTGGTTCTATTTTTCAACCCCGTGACAACATCTAGACATTTCATATGTCCGTATGTTAGCATGCTAATGTTAGCATTTACCCCAAATCAACACCATGCCAAAGTCCAGCTTTACTAATCCTTTCATATATGTCTTGTTTTCAATTTAAATATCAAACTTGCTCTTTAACTTGATTCTAACACACGATAACAGACTTTCTAGTTGCTATAATGACATCCTGTTCCTGTGTTTCCAGCTAAGCGGGTATGAATCGTGTCAGACAATCTGAGCAAAGCTTGGAACAGAGCTAAAGTAGGCAATAAACTTAAACAGTAAAGCAATCTGTTGAGATGCAGTCGCTGCATATTCAGAGTCTCTGCACGCTGAAGATCAGCCGCCAAATGAAGCTGCACTAAAGGTGAAGGTAAAGGATGTGCCCTGATGCCTGTGTGCTCCGAACAGAAAAACTCACTGACGACTAAACTAAAACGATGCCAAAGTTCCTGCAGCTCAATGAGGAACGAGCGCTCTCTCAAAGCCAGACTTAAAGATGACCGTAAACTGCAAAACAGAGAGACTTGCTGCAGACATAAATGCAAAGAACAATATGTGACGGCGTCTTATCATACTGACAAATCTGCCTTAAAGCAATACTTCACGGCGGCAGAACATTTTTTACCTTTCAGCACACAAACCTTTGCAGCAGGTCCAACATCTCCCACCCTGGAGATCCAAAGTCAACAGCAGCATTCCGACTTTCTCCCCTGCTTTTGGTATTGATATTTGCTAACAGCCAAAATTACTTTTTGGGAAGAATCACCTGGGATGTTATATAAAATAATAACTCCTGGATCAACTTTACCTTGTGTTTCATTACATTTCAAAATGAAAGTAAGAAAATGGCAAGGAGCTTTTCTTTTTTTTTTTTTTTTCCTGTGTGTGTGTGTGTGTGTGTGTGTGTGTGGTCACCAGCTAGACTCAGGAACACACACACACTGCACCTCATGAACACATATCATCTGATGCAGAAACCTTTCAAGAACACAGCAAAAGCTTTAAGATAAAATGATCGAATGAATCGCTTTTATATATAAACTGCAGTAAACAGAAAAAACTACATCATATGTGGATTTATGACGTCTTAAATCAATTCGGTTTCTTCTACAGGCCTAAAACTTCTGCACATTTCATCTACGATAGGAGGAAAAAACCCTAAACAGGAACGATCCGTCTTCTCCAAATGCACGCTGCAACATTCAAATCCTAAAAACGCAGTGAAACGCTACCAGGTTAGTCGTTCAATTGCCATTTATTCCGCCTGTGCCATCATTCACGCACCGACAGACGAAAAGATAAAAGCACCGACGAAAAAGGTGCATCACGTGCTCCATTAACACCCTCCCCACTAATAACCTTATCGCATCATCTGGAGAGGAATCATTCCACTTCATCACCTACACAAAAAAAAAGGTCCAGTTCCTTGAAAGTGAATCATATCAGGCACCTTTACAACAAGAACCGTGAACAGCGTGCGGTTCTGTGTCTGATAAAGACGTGTTTTCAGGATCAAAAGAAAAGGATGAGTGGGTTTTTTTGTGTCCAAACACATGATAAAGCAGGACGTGTGTTTTCTGAGAGGATGCTGATTTATTTCTCCGCCTGTGGTGCTGAGTTTGACCTGATCAGAGGAAACCACAGCAACGTCTGAGGGAAACACAAACAGTCCTTCTGAAGTGAGAAAACAGCAAAAACCGCTTCATTAAAATGTCTTTCTGTGTATTAATTACTTAACTAATGAACATTACAGCTGTTTCCTGCTTTACTATTTACCACATTCTGTCGATCTATATATGCTGTTGGCAACGTGTCGCGTTCAAATATTTAAAAGCCTAATTAAACGGCGCGAACAGCAAACGACGTGAATGTAAAAGGACACAGAGTCCCGTTTGGTCGCTGCCAGGTTTAGCACAAAGTATGTTCCTTGATGAACACTTCCACCTAGAGGTTATGTGGCACAAAGGCATCTAGATAAATTTAAAAAAAGATCATTCCTTTCATCTGTCTTTAATCTTGATTTTACCTTAATTTGTTTTTGTCTCATGTTAATGGGATTTAGTTTTATTTCTGGCTCAGGTTAAGAGTTGATTTGATTTTCTAATTTAAAAAACTGTGTGGCAAGCTCTGGGCTTTAGGAGGTGATCTATAAATAAAAATGACCCGCTGGTATTAAGCATTTATCAGATAAATGGTTATATCTTTGTGAACCTCTTAAATTTATGTAACACAATCCTATAAAATCCTGATTCTATGATTTTCTGTACAAACAGCCAGAATTACCAGAGAAAAGAAAAACAGACAAAAGTTTTACTTGAACAAGGGAAACATCTTTAACTAGCGCTCGTAATCTGTTAATCTGTTTTTATTCTTATGATGTGATTGTTTTCTAAGACTCACAGAGGCCTAACTCTGTTGTTTGTGGCTGGTTATGCCAATTACAAAGACCTAAACCTGCAGCAAACACACTCACCAGAGCCCACATCGCCTCCTCTAAATAGACGTTTCTGTTCAGTCTTCCAGAACCAAACCTACGTACACGTCTGGTATTTTTAGCCCCTCCTCGGGGTATCTTTCTCCACCGATTCCCGTATTGAAATTCTCACTTTGCCACCTTTGGCTTCTCCTCCGGGGAGGTCGGAGGTCAACGCGCTGCCGACGAACAGCCTCGGCGGGTCGGATGCAGCGGGGACTGGCCTCTGGACATCCACACGGAGGAGAGTCTCTCCCACCACCATCCCGCCGTCCTGCTGATGTTCTGCATCCCGCTCACTCCTACATACCGAGCTGCTTCTCCTGTCGGCAGGCAGCGAAGAAGTAGGAGGCGATTGTTTAACCTCACAGGCAAAAGGACCGAGTCAGCCGTTAGTGAATATTATTATTGAAGAGTTACTTGACAGCAGACTAAAAAAACAGATATTTTTTTACTTGCGCTCTCTAGTTTCCCGTCTGTTGCAGCAGAAGTGATGCAACGGCACACCCTGAAGTTCACCAAACACCACGGCAGCCATGTGGGGCTCGGTTAGAGCGCTGGAGGTCGAGAAGAAGAGGAAGATTTTCAGCTTGTTGTTTCCTCATGCAGACAGCTGACGATGGTCCCCAAAGTTTCAAAGCTAGAAGGAAGCTGGACCTGGTGTAGAAGGTCGCTGGTACGCATCCCGGTGAGGACACCCGGGATCTTTCTGCGTGGAGTCTCCATGTTCTCCCCGTGCAGTGTGGGTTCTCTCTGGGTTCTCCAGCTTCCTCCCACAGTCCAGAAACATGCTGAGGTTAATTGGTGATTGTAAATTGTCCGTAGGTGTGAATGTGAGTGTGCTTGGTTGTCTGTCTCTAAGTGTAGCCCTGTGATAGACTGGTTACCTGTCCAGGTGAACCTGCCTTCACCCTGAGTCAGCTGGGATAGACTCCAGCCCCCCATGACCCTAGTGAGGATGAAGGTGTAGAGATGATGGATGGATGGATGGACATTCAGTGGAGGTGGAAGCCTTTTTTTTCCAGCTCTGATAATTATGTCGTAACTTGTTTAAATGCTGCACGCTTCCTCCAACAACCTTAATGATTACCGTTAGTTGTGAGGTGTTTTCTCAAGGCAGCGTCGGTGTGCTTCATTAAGTCATAAATATTTTGTTGCAACACAACTCCACACAACACAACAAAGCAGAACCGGATGATTCACCACCTCATACTAAAGCCATTTGCACAGCTACACCACCGGACATGAAACAGCACATTTAGATGTTTTCTCCCACTGAAATCATCCCTTTGTGCCTTAAAATGGCTTCGATGTAACTCAACCACACTTTCTCCTTTAGCATGTGCATTCTCAGCTCACTCCTCAACCAATCGATGCAGCTCGAGCACGACAGCTCATCTAAAACTCAGCTCAAACTCTATGCCACACAAGGAATATAGGTTCAACCAGATGCTGAAGGAAGACGACGAGGAAAATCCCACCCTGCAAGTTGTGAAGCTTCGTTTGAAGCTGTGTTTGGAGGAACTGCTCGGCCATGAGTGTCTAATGTGTCATCAAATACAGAATAAAACCCCACATGGATGTTAACAAGGTGTAAAAACCTGAAGAGGGTCTTGGGTGTGTGAACCCACCACAACCAATCAGAACGAGCAGGATAAGTTCATATAGAGTGAGTCTATTTCTTTAAATTGTCTATAATGGGACAAATCTTTATATGTTTAGACACCAGGTCAGGATTTCACGGTTCAGTTAGTTTGTTTAGGAGTGCTTCTGTGTTCTCTGAAGCTAAATCTCCCCGTCGTAAAGACAAGAAAATACGCTCAAAAAGGTTTCGTATGGTTTTGTAAGTAAGATTTACTGGAATGTAAAGACACAGGAATCACCTACAGCGTATGTACATCAAAGCACGGTTAGTCGGCACATTAAATAGGAATTCTATGGTACACTGATATCATTTACTTGAAACAGCAGTTTAGGCTTTTGTAGGAACTACAGGTCAGTTACAAAACAGGTGTCTGAAAGTGCACCTTCCCCCTCCGACGTGGACGACGAGGCAACAGGAGGGTTTTTAAAACTACAGTAATGAAACGGCACCGCGTGACATCAGGCCAGCAGCCGCTTCTACTGGTGCTCTTTGAGGAACTCTTTCATGTAGCCAGCGAGGGCGTCGACGTCCTCCAGCGTCACGGCGTTGTACAGCGAGGCACGGATTCCTCCCACTGACCTGCAGGGGGCGACAGAGGCACGTTTGAGGTCTGGAGAATCCAGCTGCTGGTGTTTAACTGTTCTTACACAACCTTACCTGACAGACAACCATCAAGGTTGTGTTCTCTACAAATACAGCAATAAAGTGGATCATTGTGAGACAACATGAGGCCCGTTTGGTGAACTGACCTGTGTCCTTTCAGCGATATCATCCCCCGTTTGGCTGCTCCGTCCAGAAACGCCTTTTCCAAAGCTTCGTCTCCGTCTTTCTTCCCCACACGAAACGGTACGTTCATGCGGCTTCGACAAGCCGTCTCTACGGGACACCTGAGCAGGTGAACACGGCAGCTATTTGTTACTCTGGAGCAGCTTCTGGGTGTTTTTTTTTTGTTCATATTCACTGACTGTGGGCTCATTTCTCACTACAATATGAAATCCTGCCTCTCTATGGACACGACTCAGCCCTGGTTAGAGGTACAGAGGACTCGGTAGTGTTTGGTGTGTTTTATGGCACACATGGAGGCAGAACTAACATGCAAGGTGCTTGTGTGCCATCAGGAGCAGCTTGGGGTTGAGTGTTTGGACTCAGGACACTTTGGCATACGGAGGAAACGGAAATCAAACCGTTCGCTCTACCAGCTGAGCCACAGCCTCTGAAAAGACCTTCTGTCAAAGGAGAGATCTTCTAAAGCTTGAAAACAGACACCAGAGGAGGTGCAGAAGCATGTTTATCTCCAGGACTACTGGAAATCCAGCCTCCTGGGAGGTTATTAAACGACCGTCTCCTCCAGCTTTACATCTCGTCTTTGCTAACAGAGAGCAGAACAGACCGCACACCTGGACCGGCAGTAACGTTTTAATACTTACGCATAGAAACCATTGGAGGCGTTGATGATGTCGTAAATCATGGAGGACTTCTGCTTGTTGAGCGTCTCCATGGCAGCGGTGCCGCCGTTATTCTTGATCCAGTCCAGAACCAGACCCATGATGTAGATGCTGAATCCAAACAGGACATTAGCATTAATACAGTCTCACACAGAGAGAAAGTGGTAAAACACACAGAGACTACAGCGATAAATACACGTTTAGATGATTATTGTGACAGGTTTTACCACCCCCATGAGGGTTAACTTGGTGAATTCATAGATAAAAACACAGTGAACCAGCTGTAGTTTATCGATGCAGTTATAGTTTTACAGAGTACAAAGTACTGAAATCTTGTCATCAAGAGGTTGTTGTGCAACCAGTGGAGACTCCAGGAAGTAACTCCAACCACACACTTCAGACAGGTTTTCTATGAATTCACCCCAAATAGTCTCTGGGATTATTTTTCACTGCAACAGAAACTCTTTCCTCTCCATGGAAAAAGCAGAACCATGTGTAGAAGTACCAGAAGAACCAGAAGTTCCAAATGCTAACAGGTGTTACCAACAAAAATGTTGGTGCCAAGTAGTCCAGATATTTTACTACAGTCGTGACTCGATAATCCAACACTAAATGTAAAACCTTCTTTCATGTCAGATAGCAAGGCTGTCGCTATGTTAAGGCTGTTTTTATGGGTTCTGTTGGTTTTTCCTAAAAACCTGTTGGATATCAGGTTTAGGATTGTTAAGGGTCGATTATCAAGTCACACCTGTACTTACATTTTTAATCCTTGTCTGTAAACACAGCCTGCAGCTCAACCCAGTTCAGTAAAATAGTTCCTGTGTTGTGGTTCAGAAGGTTAAACAGACAACCTATAAGATGTTAACTTGTGAGATGTGGAGGTGCTGATGTTTTATATTTATGTTCTACTTCCAGTCTTTATGCTAAGCTAATCAGCTGCATCCTCGACTACCTCTGGGCAAGAAAGAAAAAGATTTGCACCATCTCTGAAGAATGCAGCTAATAACATTTTTAAACACAGACAGGTGGATTTTACCTGCTGGCCATAACATTCAGTCATAAACAGAAGCGCTGATGGTCAGTGTGTACCTGAAGCACGGCGGCGTGTTGTAGAGGGAGTTCATCTCCGCCTGCACCTTGTAGTCCAGGACGATGGGACACTCCTTCAGAGCGTGGCCCAGCAAGTCCTCCCTCACGATGACCACGGTCACGCCGGCACAACCCACGTTCTTCTGAGCGCCCGCGAAGATGAGACCGAACTACACAATAAAACACAAGTTTGTTTGTAAGCGCACAAGCCGACAAGTCAGAGGGTTCATCCTAGATTATAATCTCAACATGCTATCATGCTAATCGTACATAAAACAGGATAACAGGTGTTTGATGTGAACACACTGATGTTTCAGCAGGTAACACTCAGCTTGTTCTGTTCATTTTTACTTTAATATTTTCTAACATCAGTATTTCTTGTGTCGTGTTTTGCTGTTTCTGTGGATGTTGTTGTTTCCTATCAGTCTCTATTAGTGTTAAAAGACAGTTAATGTTTCCTCGGCTCTCGATGTCAATGAATTTCGGGAGATTTTCCTTCCGTCCCACCTTCGACACGTCCACGGGTCGGGACAGGAAGTTGGAGGACATGTCGCTGACGAGGACCGGCCCGTTCGTTTCGGGGATGAAGTTGTATTCCACGCCGTGGACGGTCTCGTTACAGCAGTAGTACACGTAGGAGGCCGAGGGGTTCAGGGTCCAGCTGCTGGGGTCGGGGATTTCTGGAGGGAGCAGCACACGTTTAAAACAGAACTAACAGAGTGTCTAAACACTAACATGAGCACGTTAGCAGCACAGATATCCAGACCGAAGGTAATTTATTAAACTGTTCACTGAAATACAAACATGTCGGCCTGTTTGTAGCACCAGGAGTTCAGTTATCTGCCAACCCCAGAACCACGTGGCACCAGAAGCACACAGTCTCTGTAGTAATAATGAAGACCTGTGCAATTACACCTCACACGCCCTTCTGCAAACCAGTTTTCCTGCACCGATCCAGCTCACTTGTAAAAACATGCCTAAAGCGAGGATTGAGGATCAAAAGGACTCTTTACAGATCGTTTTATTGGGAGGATTTTTGTCTCCACTGGCCAGAGACGTGGAAAACAAAAGACAGACGTGTCGGCTGACTTTCTGTCTGCAGGTCTACAGCGAGACGCTGCTCTTTGTGGCGACGGCAGACGGTGTTCTAGGTCCAAGAAAAACTAGACGACAGACAAAGGGAGCGACATGCTTCTGATTTTGTGTTTAGCAGCCCTCATAACGAGGCCTCTGATAGAGAAGAGCCCCAATGTAAACCCACAATCAGACACAACCATGTGGAAACGGCTGCTTGCATACCAGAGCCTTTCACTGGTCGCCTCTATTGTTTATTACGCAACAGTCTGGACACGTGGCCAGATTCTGCAGAGGGACGTCCACATGCAGCCGGAATGACAACGACCAGCTAGTAAGAGCCGAGACGAAAACAATAGAAATTAACCCTAAAAGCAAAGAAGATTTCATCCAGACCTTCCTGTCTGCACTGAGATATCCACCCATCCATCCATCTATCCATCCGTCCACCCATCTA